ATTGATTTTTAAATTGCCAAGTCAGACATTTAACGGTTAACTGTTAGGGTTGACTGCCACATCAGATAAAGTTAACGGAGAGTGACTAAATATGGATCTTCTTACTAATTCGAATGACCAAAATTGATATTAACTTTTTTAGTGACTAAACATGACACATTTTAGTAAACCCAGTGACCAAACATGGCATTTACCCTTTAAAATATTATTAAATATACTATAATATTTTAGACGAATATATACATCCGGATCAAAATACTACAACACCTCTGATTTTTTAAATTCAATATATAATTCTTGATCATGAATAAAATAACAAAATTTAAAAGCCCATTCTAACATTTTGTTACCAATTTTATACATAAAATTATATAGATTCACTTTGTATTTAAATTTTATTTATAAAATAATAAAAAATAAAAGTACATGTATTCCCCTCCCAACTCAACCCTTGAGTTTTTCTCAAATGACATTCTAGTACTCCACATTACAATATTACTGTTTCTCGTCATCTTCTCATTTTTTTCTAATCATCGATTGTCAATTTTTCGTTCCATTACACCAAAAGGGTATCGTCTATGAAATTTCAAGTTTCAAATTAAAACATTTCTTGTATCAATCCAGACAATCTCTAAATTAATGCTCACCTCATTAATCTCATCGAATCTATCTCTTCCAAACTAGTCAACAACTTTTAACCCGGCTGAGTTAACATCACATGTAAAGAGCCTAAATTCTATAAAGTCTTAGTCGATCACTGCAGATAGATAGATAATTCGTCTGCTGATCTTACAAAAAGCTTGTATTATCAATCAATATTCTTCATCTTTAGTCTCTCCTATTTGCTGATCTTACAAAAAGCTTGTATTATCAATTAATATTCTTCATCTTTAGTCTCTCCTATCATATGTATGCATCTCTCTTGTGAAACAACCACTCGTTGTCTTTCGGTCACATCTATTAATTCTCAAATGTTTTTAGAATTTCTCCAAACTTGTATTTTTGTGCTCTAAAGTAGGAGCACCAACCCAAGTCCCTTGAATTGTGTGGTTTAACATTTAAGGATAATATTAGAGAATATGTAAATAAATTTAATAAAAATGAAAAATGTTTAAATCACATAGCTATTCACATTCAGATGAATAATTTTCTAGCCGTTAATAATATTTAATATAAAATACACTCAATAGATGCACTTATTATTCGAATTTGGTTGCTAGAGGAAATAAAATTTCAATCAACTACTACTAAAAGCCAAAGATTATGAAAGAGTACTGGAGGTTATACCGGAAAAGTCAGTGGTAGGGTATTTTGTACTAAAATCACGATTCACGGTAGTTCAAGCATTTCCTACCGCTAAAGCCACATATTGGTTGGGTCGGGTATCTGATATTTCTGGTCCAACCGGACGGTACGATAGAGTTTCTAAAATATTGTTAATTGCACATTTAATAAGTTTACTTCTTGTTAGACCTGATAAGCAAAAGCCTGACTTGGTAGGTACTCCAATAAAACAGGGCACACAATAAATCTCAATTGCTCACTCATGACCCTAATCAATCAAATAAGACCCAACATGCACCTAGATCTAGGAAATACATGCTCAACGACTATACAGATGAGAAAAATGTCAACGCCGAAGAGAGAAGATAATGAACAGTAGGGCCACACGTCATTCTGGTTCGTCAAATTGATGATCAGTCATTTTAAGTAATAACGAATATTGAGACCACTTAAAAGGACAAACATAGTGCCATAAATAGGCGTGCACCTTATCCATTATTAAATGCGTTAAGATAGTCCATACACAAACTCATGTACCTGGACATACCATTAATAATGTTTAACCTGATTTCCTAGTATAAACAGAGGCAACGCATCTAAAGAGGGCATACACTAATACAAATTTTTTCCAACATTCAACTTGAAAATCAATTTGTATATGAGTCTCATTAGCCTCCTACGCCTATAAATTTTCTTTCTCTCTTCATATTTTCCTGATAACATTTTGATACTTTTCCTTCTTCACTGTCATAATATTATCACAGCACCAATCCATCCACCTATTCTCCCTCTAATCCAAACTTTCTCGGTCCACCAGGTTTTTGGCTGATATTGAAAGCCACCCATCACAATCACACATTTTGAAAAATTAGCCTTACAGAAACTCCTCCGCGTGCTTGAAATTTGAAATGGGGCATCATGTTTTCCCATTTCACTTTTATATTAAGATTGATTTAGAGAATTTGAGTTAGATCTACTTAGATATTAAAATAAAACTTCTAAATTTCGAGATACGAAAACAATTTTTATTGAATAATTGGGTTAGTTTGCAAAATTTATTTAATGAGTGAGGATTATCTACTTTCCCTATTTCCTACTTGACAGTCAAAAATTTATCAGAATATAAAAAATGAGCTACTTCCTCTAGTTTCTACATTTTCTCTATTTCCAACAAATTTCAAATGGAACTTATGCAAATTACTGATACGAGCACAGTTGTGTTTGATAGGGATCAAAGCGCGCAACTCAATTCTTCCTCAATGAAGCTTGAATTCAAACAACTTTAAACGAAAATAAACGGACCAAATGTGCAATCTTTCATGTGGAAGAAGGCTCGATTGATTTTGGGCGAAGCTCGGCCACGATTGATGGGGTTTTCAATCGATACGAAGCAAACTTGTTGCTGGAACTCAACCAACACACAAGAACTTGGTGACAAGTCACAATTTCATTCAAATCTTCTCTGCCCTTTAAATAAACTCTCAACTACGTTAATTAACCCTAAACAAACAAGGAAAAACGAGTTCTAATTTTGATTGAACAAGGAAACAAAATCCTATCTTGAAAAGGAAACAAAACTCGATGGCTTTACACCCAAGCGACTGCCTTCCTGCGCAAGTAACCATTCCACCGTCCATAGCCACTTTGAAGCTCTTAATCCTAGTGTTCCAGGAAGATTCGATCCAAACCGGCTTCAGTCGTTTGCTCTCCTAGCCTTGTAGTACAAGTTCCAACTCCCAGCTTCCCTCGATGATGCTCCATCTGAATTGAATAGCCTCCAAAGATGGTCTCTTGGAATGTTTCAAGACTTAGCCAAAAACAGGCAATCTCCCAGTTTTACCATAGCAACTTGGCACTTCTTGTCCTTGGGCTTAGAGGCTTGACCTTGTGAAGACAACCATCCAGAATGATAAACAAACACTTGTTCTTCACCCTCCACCCTTCCTCTCACATTTCCATCAATCAGAATGTACGATATGAACCTGTAAAGTAAGCACCACGAAACAATTCAAACACTTGGCCAAATTTGTCCATTTTTCATCCCAACGTTGATTGATCCAATTGGGATCATATCATAGCCTACACGTTTAAAGTATAAAATGTTTCCTAAATTTTTTCTCCACAAAACGCTTTGAATGCATGGAATTTGAAATGGAGCTGGTAGTTTTCATTTTCTACTATTAATTAAAGTGTAGATTAATTATCTCTTTCGCCACAAAAAATTAATAAGTAAAATTATCTCTCCTAATATTTTCCTAGTCCCTACGTTACGGACCTAAAACTAAAATTGAAAGGAGGGTTGATTAATTAAAGGCTCCGGATAGCATAACAACACCTAAGGTGTTGTTATTATAACAACAGGGGTATAAGGGTAACTGCACAATAATAACTGCACAATAATTAAATAATTGTTTTCTTTTACCTGGCATTAATTTTGAAATTCAAAAATAATAATAAAATTCATTGAAGCGCGCGTTGAGACATTTCAGTTTTCCGCTTTCCCCTTTCCCCTTTCCCCTCTGCTCACGAACTGCTCACGAACTGCTCTCCGACGGGACGTCTGCTTCGGTCTCCCTGTTCTCGCCACCAAATTTGCATCTGTATCGAGCGATTTCGTCTGCGGCTTGTGGATTTCCTTCACGCGATTCTGTTTCCTTCGTCGCCGAAGTGAATTTCGAGGTATGCCGGTGATTTCCTCCGATAAACTGGAACTGTCTTCTCCTCCGTCGTCAGTTTTGGTCTGCGAAGTCGCCGTTGTCGTTTAGCGTCGCCGGAGTTCCACTTGTATGGTGTTAGTTTGGCGTCGCCGTTTTCGTTTTCGTTAGCATTGTCATTGCTTGCTTCTGCTATTGAATTTACCACCTTCGTTTTCATGTTTGCCCTCTGTTACTTTCGTTTTCCAGTTTTCTGCGATGTTTTGACGCATGCAGTCTAAATTTGTTGAAGGAGACGAGGAAATTTCATAGTTGTGCGTTCTGGTTAGGTTTTGTTGGATGTTTCTTCATTTTTGTGGTGTGCTTTGATTATTTTAGGGTTTCTGGTTTCTCATGAGTCGTTTGTGGTGTTGTTTAGTAGTTCTGTTGTTTTTTTTCTATATTTTGGTGGTGCGCTTTGTGTTTGGTGACAGTTAGTGTGTTTGTGGGTTGGATTGGGGCCTTTCTGGAGGGTTTTAATAAAACTATTGTGTATTTTAGGGTTTCTGGTTTCTCATGAGTCGTTTGTGGTGTGCTTTGTGTTTGGTGACAGTTAGGGTGTTTTGTGGGTTGGATTGGTGCCTTTCTGGAGGGTTTTAATAAAACTATTGTGTACTTTCAGGCTACTGTTGGTGGTTCTTTTAAAAGGTTTTGTGGTTTGTGTTTCGGATTTCACAGTTTGGTTTAGAAGATTTACTGGTGTGCATTTGCAGTTGTTGTTTGTCTCCTTTACATCTGATTATTGAGTCGTTTGTGGTGGTGTTCAGTAGTTCTGTTGTTTTGTTCTTTTTTTTTTTGGTGGTGCGCTTTGTGTTTGGTGACATTTAGGGTGTTTGTGGGTTGGATTGGGGCCTTTCTGGTGTTTTTCCAGGGTGATGTTGGTGGTTCATTTGGAGTTGTTGTTTGTCTGCTTTAAATTTGATTATTGGATTGTTTTCATGGGTTTACAGTTTGCATTAGGCCCTTAATGGTTTGGATTTTATATGTTCTGGTATGAGATTGCTTATGTTGGTTTGTGTTTTGGTTGCTTTGTAGGCATGACACCTGCTAAGAAACGTGCAGTAAAGGGGAAAGAAAAGGAAAAAGTTCCAACACCTAAGCAAGAGAAAGATGGTGCAGTAAAGGGGAAAGAAAAAGAAAAAGTTGCAACACCTAAGCGAGAGAAAGATGGTGCTTCTCCTGTGCCTGGAAAGCCGGATAAGAGGCATCGTAGTAATACTAATCGTATTCTTGGCATCATGGAAGCTGACAGTACAAGTGAAGAAAAACTGCAGATGCTTGATCCTCTGGGTTTTAGGGGTGTGTCGAGGGTTAAGCTTACGAGACTCCCGGATAATTTTATTGAATGGCTTTGCAAAAGCTTTGATGTGAGTTCAAGGTCTTTCCCGCTGCTACGGTCAGGGAAGTTTAGAATTGGAGAGGCAGATGTGGAGAGAGTCTATGGTTTGCCGCGTGGACCGTATGTTGTTAAGCTGGATATGTTCAGTGCAGCCCAGAGGCACAGGTGGGGAATTGAGTTAGGGCTTTCCAATACTAAGAAAGGAAAGGCGTCATTGGCAAATGTTAAACTGGCATTGGAAGAGGAGAGGGACAATAAGAAGTGGAGGGATCTTTTTGTACTGTATGCAATGGAGGCAGTTCTGTGTCCCAGTGGAAATTTGAAGATTAACCTCTCCTATGCTGGTTTTTTGCAAGATGAAATGGTTGCTGACTTCACCCAATATAATTGGTGTAAGCATGTGGCTGACCATTTTAATGACAGTATGGTTGAAGTGGTTCAATCAAAGTCAAAGTTCCCTGGTGACGTTCATCTTCTTTTTGTAAGTGAATAAATATACCCCTTTTCGAATTTTGTTTACTGTTTCATTTATGGTTTGTTTATTGACGAATGTGGTGTGGTTGAAGATGTTTATGGTTTGTTTAAGAGTTTTAATGGTTTGCTTTTGCCCCCCCCTGTGTTATAATGTTTCTGGTATTGTTTTTCATTTATGGTTTGTTTATTGACTAATGTGGTGTGGTTGAAGATGTTTATGGTTTGTTTAAGAATATTTATGGTTTGCTTTACCCCCCTTTGTTATAATGTTTCTGCTATTGTTTATCATTTATGGTTTGTTTATTGACGAATCTGGTGTGGTTGAAGATGTTTATGGTTTGTTTAAGAATATTTATGGTTTGCTTTTGCCCCTCCCCCCCCCCCTGGTTGTGTGGTGTGTATTATAATCTTTCTGGCACAGTTTGTTTGTGGTTGCTTGACTTCTGTCTGTTTGTATATGTGGCAGATTTCGATTCTTGACCGTGTGAAGAACCCCCCTGAGCTGCCCATACCGACCTGTAAGCATAGGTCGTACAAAGTCGCAAGTGCTGCTTTTCAAGTACTGATGGACGAAGGTCATCTCAATATTGGTCATCGAGATGTAGTGATGGAAGAAGCAACCTCCAGTCAACCAATGGGACGAGAACGTGTGCTGGGTTCAAAGAGGAAAAGGCCGGTAGATGATCTTGATATGGTGAGGGAAGGGGATCTTCCGAAGCTTCCCCATCTTGACCTCAACTTGGATGGTGTTCATTCGGTTGAAGAAGTGAGTGATTTTTTCTGTGTTATTCGTTTTATGTCTTTCTTTAGAGTACTTTCAGTGTGCTTTACAAGTATAGTGGTTTGCATTAGTTTGTTTACGGAATACTTTATTTTATTCATGTGCTGGTTAGTTGTGTTTTCTGTTGTTTGTTCTTTGGCTTGCTTTAGTGTACTTGTGGTTTCTATTAAAAGAATAGTGGTTTGCATTACTTCGTTAAAGGAATATTTTATGGTACTCATCGTTTGGTAGGTGTTTTTCTGTGAGAACTCAAACATATGTGGTTCGTATAAGTGTGTTTTAGGTGTTCATTAAAAGGAATGTGAGATTCTTTAGAAGGTTTATGGTTTGCTTTTGGGCTGTTCAGTAACTTTGGGCTGTTTTCGTGTTTTTGTAGGCATATCAGTTGAAGAATGACATGGAAAGTTATAAGAGGGCTTTGTTGAGGATGGCTGCTCATTACAGTTCGAGCATTGAACAAGTTGATGATCATATAAAGATGCTGGAGGGGCAGCAACCAGAGGATAGTCCTGAAGATAATGTCGATTTCACTGATAGAGTTGATGATGTTTCTGTTGCTAAGGGAACCAATGATGTCGGTCGCAATGCATCTGCTGCCAATGCTGATGATGAGACTGGTGCTAACAGTCCAAAGTCCCCGGGTCTTGATGATTTGTCAATGGAGATGGATAAGGATGGTGCTGGTAGTGTTGATGTTGTGGTGCCAGATGTTGGTCACAATGATCCTGCTGGCACTGCTAATGATGATACCTCTCCTAAGGGAGTGTTAGATTCGGAGGGACTTGATGATCATCTTGATAATCTGACAATGGAGATGACACAAAAAAGTGTTGATTCTGAGAATGCTAAGAAGGTGATGGAGATGGACAGCTGTGAGGAAAAGGGACAAGGTGATGATGGAGATGACAATGTTGATGCTGCTAAGTTGGATAACTTGGTTGAGAAGGTCGTAAAGGTATTTTTACTGTTTTGTGTTTGAATATTTGTGGTGTGGATTATACTGTTTTTGGTTTGTTTGTCATGTCTTTTGTAGTTGGTTGTTTTGCATTTGTTAGTGGTGTGGTTTACATATATCTGGTTTTGTTAAACACTTTTGTGGTTTGGTTTCTGTAGTCTGCTATGGGGGATGTTTGTGAAGATGTGGTGGTTGATGAGAAAAGGAAAGAAGCTGATTCTGAGAATGCTAAGAAGGTGATGGAGATGGACAGCTGTGAGGAAAAGGGACAAGGTGATGATGGAGATGACAATGTTGATGGTGTTGATGCTGCTAAGTTGGATAACTTGGTTGAGAAGGTCGTAAAGGTATTCTTACTGTTTTGTGTTTGAATATTTGTGGTGTGGATTATACTGTTTTTGGTTTGTTTGTCATGTCTTTTGTAGTAGTTTGTTTTGCATTTGTTAGTGGTGTGGTTTACATATATCTGGTTTTGTTAAACACTTTTGTGGTTTGGTTTCTGTAGTCTGCTATGGGGGATGTTTGTGAAGATGTGGTGGTTGATGAGAAAAGGAAAGAAGCTGATGCCGGTGAGGTGCTTGAGGGTGGTGATGGTCGTGGAGATTTAACATTGAGTCAGCTAGTTAGGGAGGGAAAGGTAATTTGTTATACAAAGGTAATTTGTTGTACTATGTTTCAGTTTTGGTTTGTGTTAGTTGTTTTTAGTGTTGTTTTATCTAATTTGTGGGTTGCTTTAAAAATCAGAAAAAATTTAAAGTGAAGAATGCAGGAAGCTCATCCGGTGTTGATATTGATGTGTTGAAGGGTGCTGTGTTGCGATATGCAAGGGATTCGAATAACTTGTAAGTTAATGTGTATAGATTTCATACATATGCGGTTGTTTGTATATATTTTTTTATATAGTGCTTATTAGTACTTTTCTAATGCCGACTGTTTTGTTTGTTATGGATTATGAAAAATAGGAAGGAAATCCTTTTCAGTCGCGTTGATGGATTCGATTGCTTGTATAGAAAGGACACAGAGACTTTGGCACATGGGAAATGAGTGAGTGTGGATGTTATTGACTGCTATGCTGCCTATCTGAATCGGGAGCAAGTGAGAAGAGGGCAACTGAAAAGATGGGTGTTCTATTCAGGGCTGGCGGTGAGTTACATTTTCTGCTAGTTCTGTTTTGTTTTAGGGTTTTTGTGGTGTGCATTATAATAGGTCTGGTTTGGTTTAAGGGTTTTGTGTTGTGCATTATAAGACGTCTGGTTTGCTTTAGGGTTTTTGTGGTGTGCATTATAATACTTCTGGTTTGTTTTAGGGTTTTTGTGGTGTGCATTATAATACGTCTGGTTTGTTTTACTGTGTTTATGTTGTGTTCTACCTTGTAGCAAAGAGTGCAGGGGATAGTGAAGAACGAAGGACCACTGCCTAATTTTTTTGAAGAGACTGATGAAATTATTACAAGTTGCAAGTGGATACCAGATGGTTTGGATTTCTCACAATGTGATTATGTATGTATTTTTTTAGTCAGATTTGCTAGATTGTTTCATGTGTGTTTTTTCTTCATTGTGCTTTTGGAGTACTGACTTGTTTTTGTTCTGCATGCAGTGGATGTTCCCCCACTGTTCTGATGACCACTACAGGATGTATGTAGTGAATCTGAAGAACAAACGGTATGATTATCTTGACAGCCTTTACCCTGACGACCTTGATTCCAAGTTTCGTGCTGTTGCGGATATGGTGGTCCGCTATGCCACAGAATACATTCCTGCCTGCAGAAAAGAGCCCTTCAAATTTGAAGAATTCAAGTGGGTTAGACAGCGAGGGGTGAGACAACGTGGTGGGATTGACTGTGGTGTTTTTACTATGAATTTTGCTGAGTTTTGGGATGGCAAACTGCATCCAGCTATGAGGAATTGGCAAAGACAAATCAATCAGAGGCGGGATGAGATCACATTAACATTGCTGCTGAACAAGGAGAACAGTGTACTTGAAGAGGTGAAGAAGAAGAGTTTGGAGTTTGATCGCAAGGTGGACTAGCTGATTTTAGCATGCATTTGCAAGAACAGTTTCAGATTTCAGTGTGTTAATATGTGTTTTAGTGTGTTAATGGTGTTGATTAAGAGGATTTGTGTTCGTCGTGTATGGTGTGTATTATAAGACAAGTGGTTTGTGTTAATACATAAGTGGTTTGCTTAATGAGTGTTCTGGAAAGTTTCCATATGTTTGTGGTTTGGTTTTGTTAAGAGGTTTCGAAGTTTGTTTTCTTTCCTGTATGGTGTGGTTTGTAGTGTTTATGGTTTGGATTAGGTGGTCTGTGGTGTGGATTGTAGCGTTTTTGGGTTGGTTTAGGTGGTATCTGGGTTGTTTAACCTTGTTCGGTGTGCATTGTGGTGTTTATGGTTTGGATTAGGTGGTCTGTGGTGTGGATTGTGGGGTTTTTGGGTTGGTTTAGGTGGTATCTGTGGTTTGTTTAACCTTGTTCGGTGTGTATGGTGGTGTTTATGGTTTGGATTAGGTGGTCTGTGGTGTGGATTGTGGGGTTTTTGGGTTGGTTTAGGTGGTATCTGGGTTGTATTCAACTGTATCTGTGTTGATCAAATATTATCAAAAACCTGCAACTGTTCATATTTGTCTCATAGTTGTCATTGAAATCTAAAAGTTTATGACAGAAAAAAAACACGAATAACAAGGAAACTAATCACTCATTGTTGCTTGTTGGCGGCCTGTTCATCAATTCTTTGCTTTCTAGCCCTCTCCAGTGCTACCTCAAGTCCACCTCTTGGCCTCTTCTTTGATTTCCATGGGTCTTTTCGAGCCTTGAATCCCTTCACATTGGCATACTTGTCATTTGTAGCTGAAGCAGCAGCGCTTTGTGAGGGTGATGTATTGGTGGTTCCATCTGTTGAAAAAGCAATATGCAAGATACTGGTGAACATAAGTAGGGATTAAGCAATTAGTGGATTGGATTAAGATGTTTATGGTTTGCATTAGATCATTTGTGGCTTGGATTAAGCAATTACTGGTGAATATAAGTAGGGATGCTAACAAGATGTGTGAAATTACCAGGTACTGTTTGCTGAGTTTCTTGAGTCTGAAGGCTTTGGAAAGCTAGTTTAGTGAGCTCTGCAATCTTCTCCTTAACCATTGAGAAGACCTTGTCATTCATTGAGACTTTTGTTGCTAGGATAACCATGCTAGCACACAGTTCTTGATACCTCCCTGCATAAGTATCTGTTGCAGCACATTCTGTTGTGTTTATTGTGAACTTCTCTCCAGATTTGGCATCTCTCGTCCATCGTGGCAGAATGTATTCCTTAGGGATAGTCAATTGCTCAATATCATCACCATTGAATCCAACCATCTCTATCTGCCTGATTACATGTCTGCACAACCAGCCTGAACTTTCAAACAAACGACATGAGCACTTGTATTTCTTCTCCTCTTTGTTCACTAACACGACTCTTTTGCCGAATCCTCCTAGTTTCTTCACTTCATAAGCTGTCATTCCATCTCTATCCATAGATTCATTCCGGAACACAAAAAAAGCAAGGCTTTCTGAATACTCCTCAAGGAAAGAACTGTAGATCTTAGTTGTGTATAATTTTGCGACTTGCTGAACAAGTGGGCTTCTGTCATACCTGTTGGAAGATGACATACAACATACAATCATTCATAAAACATCTTGTCTACATTAATGATTTTATGGTATGTATTGTACTGTTTGTGGTGTGGATTGTGGTGTTTATGGGTTGTATTAGGTGGTCTGTGGTGTGGATTGTAGGGGTTTTGGGTTGGTTTAGGTGGTATCTGGGTTGTTTAAGCTTTTGCGGTGTGCATTGTGGTGTTTATGGTTTGGATTAGGTTGTCTGTGGTGTGGATTGTAGGGGTTTTGGGTTGGTTTAGGTGGTATCTGGGTTGTATTCAACTGTTCTGTGGATGCATTCTACAGTATAAAAAGTTCAAATAAAGGAAGTAATACGTACATGTTGTTTGGGACTGTGTTTGCCATTTGATAATCCATGTCCATTTCGTCTGATCTTTTCCGTTCGAGCAACTTGTTGAAGTATGTGAAGAACTCAACTAGGTTGTCATCTGGTTGAAGGTAGTTTCGGAGGTTGCTGTTACAAGACTCACTCAGCTGTGAGCTTCGCATACCAGCTGTGAAGTGGTCCTTAATCCATGCTGAAGACCACTGTTTTCTCACCTTGTAAATTGAATCCAACCAGTTCCTTGGATTGGTGCCTTCTTCTGGATAATATGTGTCTAGCAACCTTGACCAATTGTACTCAAATTCTTCCTCATTTTCTACTCCAAAAGTGACATATTGTAGATCTTCTAGAATGTTTGTGTTTGTGGTGTCGAGATGCTTCATTGCATTCTGCTTGATATGAAAAGTACACAAGCCATGGAATGCTTCAGGAATGACGGATCTAATCCCAGCGGCGATTGCAGCAGCTTGGTCGGTGAATATTGATGTTGGTCGGCTGCCTGACATACATTTCAAGAATGCATCGAACAACCACTTGAATGTAGCGGTTGTTTCATCATATAGGAGAGCAGCCCCGAAGATGCAAAGTGCACGATGGTGGTTGAAGCCAACAAACAAAGCTGTAAATTAAAAATAAAAAAAGAACAACATAGAATTAAACATTGAAACAAACAAAGGCTGTCTTTTTTGATATATATGGTGTGCTTCAGGACGTTTTTAGTATGGTTTAGGAGGTTTGTGGTATGCATTGCGTAATGTTTGGTTTGCATTCAATTTCGAAATATCAAGAAAATTATCTAGTGCAAGGAATCCTTCTTAATGCAAACCACAAACCTTTTAATGCACACCACAAATCTTATAAAACAGACCACAAACCTCACAAAGCAAACCACAACATTTGCGGAAGCAGACCAGAAATCTATTAATGCAAACCACAAACCTCACAAAAGAAACCACAAACCTCACAAAGAAAACCACAAACCTCACAAAGCAAACCAGTGCAAGGAATACTGACCTAGTGGACGATAATTCTGGTTTGTCCTGTATGTGGTGTCGAAGCTGATCGTATCTCCGAAGCAACTGTAGTCAAACCGCATTCTTGCATCAGCCCAGAATATACTTGCAATATCTTCGTTACTATCTACCTCAATTTCATAGAAGAATGATGGATTCTTGTAAGCTTCACGGCGAAAATGTGTAAGAAGTATAGTTGCTTCGCCTGGTTTCATTGATTTCTGCCTTGTCCCTGTGATATAGTTCTTCAGATCATGAGGGGTAAAAGGTACATTCTCCCTCCCCCCTGAAGTTGTGGTGAACAACTCATATGATTTCCGTAGTGAAACTCCACAATCTGCATGCACTTTTGCGACCATTGCATGCATTTCTGAGATCCCCTTGTTCGACCTCAAGAGATGTTTGAATTTTGGAGGGAGGAGATCATGGTTGTGTTCTGTTATCCACTTGTCCAGCAGCCATTCATCCTTCTCGATATCATATCTGAATTTGATTATAGCTGGGCAGCCAACTCTAGTTTCTGGTACAGCACGTTGATAAGCCTTCACATCTATTGATCCTTTATTCTTGGGATTTGACTTGCTTGTGGTCTTGTATCCTTCTTTGCTGCAGCAATACCTAGCATATCGTGCTGTTTTGGTTGGCTGTCTTTTTGTAGAACGTTTGACAGCTCCCATGTCCCTCACGCTGAAGCCAAGGTCGTGAGCATAGTTCTTGTAGAATTGTTTTGCTTCCTCAATGGTTTTGAATGCCAACCCCAAACTAGTGTAGTCTGACTCGGACCTGTTTGATGTCACACCTGTAAGCAATGATGAAAGAAATGAGCACTTGATCATTTCATCTTGCGATAATTTTTGCTAGAAAAGTGTAAAGTGGTTTGGGTTGTAGTTATTCATGATGCTTTTATGACATTTATGGTTTGCATTACAGTGTATGATTTTTTTTACAAACAGATTGGGGAATGTAACGATTAACGTTTTAATGGTGTGTATTGAAGGTGTTTTGGTGCGTTTAAGAAGTATTGTGGTTTGTTTTGGGAAGAATGTGGTGTGTTTGGCGATGCTTTTGGTATCGTTTGTGGGATTTTTGTGGGCGGTTTAATGATTTCATCTTGCAATGATATTTGCTAGAAAAGTGAAAAGTGGTTTGC